CGCGGCCACACCCCCTTCCACGCCGCCGCGGTTTGGATCGCCGACGTTTTCCCCTGCGCGCCGACGATCGCGGAGGTGGATGTGCTGCTTTGGAGCTGTCTGGAGATGCGCAGCCCGTTGGTGCAGCGCAGCCTACAGGCGGTGGAGCGGCGATTCCGACAACCCGCCCCGCTCACGGCGACGAACGCGTCGTCGTTTTCGTGGATTTCTCACGACGAGGAGGAGTTCTCGTCGTCGGCAGCGCCGGATTCGCATCGGGGTGGTGCCTACGGATTCAATCGCAGGGATCGCGGCTACTCGGGCTATTCGAACGCCGGAGTCTCACGTTCCCGCGCGTTGGCGGGGAATCCGGATGTTTCGAATGATCCTTACGAGGAAAGGCGTTTGCGGAGCGCGCAGCATCCGCGGGTGTTGTTGTGTTGGCGGCCGTCGTGGTGGTTTACCCGCTACTCCATCCTCTCCACGCTGTTCATCCTCTTCGTCGTGATGAAAATGGTTGTGATACCGTTCCTATGGGGAGGTGCTAGAGATGGGGAGAGTTCGCTGGTTGAATAAGCGAGATAATTGAAGAGGCGGGAGGCTGGGGGGGGGGGGGGGGGGAAGAGTTGTTGAAGTGAAATGGAGGATATAACGCGTAGGAAACGTATGCGTACGTTTCCCGCATAAATAATCCGTATTCTGGCATAGGATTGTTGGGGGTTTCTTTGTTTTTCTGTTAGTTTCTAGAATACATTTTGGCCTCCGTTAAGCATGGCGAAGTGAGGGAATTCCACCGGATTCGCTTTCCAACATGATAAATCGAATGAAGCCGTTAAATCAGCCCTATGACGAATATGTATTATGAATGAGATCTAAGAAGGAAAAAAAACGCCTTACCGCTTGTATTTCAAATGGTAATCTATGATCTATGTTTATGCGTTTCTTCCTGCACTTCTCACATGGCTAATCCTTCGACCTTTTATTTCCTTTCTTGTCTGTGGTGGGGAAGGGGCAAAAGAGGAGGTGGGGAAGTGGTTTTCAGTGATTTTCTGGATTTATACCGTCTCCCGACGATCAGCCTCTCTCCGGACGTCTTTCCATTTATGTTTTTCGGTATTGCGTAACTGGTAAACTCGCAAACCCGTCAAGAGCCGTATCAGAAACCCAACCCTGTGCTTTCCCTGTCATAACACCTGGGGAAAAGGGTGCAAGAATCCCGATTTCAAGGGGGAAACAACCCATTACGGATCGAAGCGTGGGATTCACACTGCCGGTCCTATTCTTCTTGTTGGACTTTTTTCTTTTTTGCCACATAGACAACCCCCCCCCCAAACAAAGAATGCGCAAACGAAAGACGACGTCGCGAGCGGGAAAGGGGGCTCGCGATTTATCCAGCGATCCCCTCCCCTCCCCCTCTCCGCTTCGTCCGCCCCCCCCCTCCTCTTCGTCGTCGTCCACGGCGACGGCGGCTCTCCAGGCGGCCTCCACCTCCGCCTCCCCCCTCCCCTTTTCGCAGCTCCTCGAACGCCTGGAAGGGGGGCGCTCGGCCGGGGTCTCCGCGGCGCCCTCGCCCTTGCCCGCGACGGATTTCGCCGCCCTCGACGAGGAGGTCCTTGCGGGGTTGAAGGCGGCCTTGACTTGCCCGCTCTGCGAGGGGCTTCTCCGGCGGGATCCCGCGATCCTCGCGGTGTGCGGCCACTGCTTTTGTTTCCCCTGCGTGAACGCCGCGATCGAGCAGGGGGTGTGGCCTTTGACGGCGGCGTGGCCCTGGGCTGCCCCCCCCCTCTCTTCTGGGGGGGCCCTCCAACGAAAAAAAGTTCGTTTCAGCTGCCCCCTTTGCCTCACCCCGGCGTTTCGTTGGACGATAATTCGCCTGCCGCTGATGCGGGAGCTCTGCGCGCGGCTGGAGGCCGCGGTGCCCGGGATCGACGAGGCCCTTCGTCGGCTCCGCCCGCCAGGAACCCCTCAAATCCCCCTCACGATCCCCACCTCAACGGAAACAGAGGGGGAGGGGGATTCCGCGAATCGCGAACGCACGGCGGCCGCCGCGTCCCTCGCGGCGGCCCCACCCCCCACGGCGGGGCGTTCTCCCCCGGCGGTGAATTCCCCGCGCGATCCCCCGGGCGCCGTCCAAACCGAACCCCACGGCGATGAAAAAGACGAGGGCAACGGGGCCTCGCCCTCGGCGGGGGTGATCGGCTCCGTGAATTTCACGCCGTGTTCGTTGAATTTGTTTCCTCCCCCTCGCCGAGGGGGGGCGGGGCGGATTGCCGCGGCCTCACCTTTCACCACCCTCCCTTGCGCGCCCGTCGAGCCCGGCGAGGAGGATTTCAGGGAGGGGATTCCAGACGCGGGAACCCCGTTGAGGGTTCGTCCGCGGCGGGAGGATCGCTCGGACGGTGGGGAGGAAAGGGGGGGTCGCGTGGAGCGGAAATTCGAAATGGCAGGGATTCCACCGCCGCATGGGATGGGAGGGGGGGAGGATTCGATGCTCGCCTTTCTCGCGCAACACAGCCCGTCGGAGGGGCGGGGTGGAAGAGGGGAGGGGAGCCCCTCTCCTCCTCGGATGCCCTTCGCGAAGGATATCGTGTTTGAAACCAACGACGTGGTCACGGAAGCACTTGAAAAAGAGGCGGGCGAAGAAGAAATAAACGAACGAGAAGACAACGAAAGAGGTGGAAGCTACGCGAGCGCCCTCCTCGGCGGCGACGTGAGTAGTCCTTCCGGGGTGATCGAGGGCTTGACTTGCGCGGAAGCGTGGCAAGGGGAGGACGAAAACAAAGAAAATGAAAAAAAGGAAGAAAAAAATGAGGAGGAAAGCATCTTGGAGGGAGAGGGAGAGGAATCGCGCGGAACGGCGACCCCACCGCCCTTACTGCCACCGGGAGCGTACCGCTATCTACTCTACAACGATACCCCCTGATTACGGTATAAATATTGCTATTCGCATATATATATATATGCATGTATGTATGCTGATGTATGCACGTGATGGGTATTTCTTTCTCGTTTTTTCGCATTTCTTACCTGTGTGAAAATGTTGACGCTTCTCGATGGCCGATGTGGTTCGTTATTGGATTGATGCATTCACTTTCTGCGTATTCTGCGAAAAAAAAACATCTCCCTTGTTTTCATCATTCTTTGCGAATCTTTTCATCATAAAAAGCTTGTCTATGTATGATAGACTCAATATAACATACATTACGTAGTAAGCCGAAACGAGTTAATACGCATCCAAATCCAAAAAAAAAAACAGAAAAATAAAGAACATATTAACTAAATAAAATAATCTTTCTTTGTTTCTCCTTTGCAGGTAGAATAGGCTAACAGCACACACATACACACACACACACATAAAGCGAACGAACACAGGGGGCGAAAAGGAAATAAAAAAGGCCCCCACACTCATCTATCCAAGGAGGATAACCGTACCCTTACCAAAGGAGGCGAAGTTCATCCGTGGAATGCCCTCCCAATCGCGCGGGCGGCACCCTCCGAAAGGCGGCCACGTCTTCCGCCACGCCGTCGAGGATGTCCACATCGGCGTCGGATACGCCGCCCTCGGGGGGCTCTCGCTGCGCCTCGCCGCGGGCCCCCCCCCTTCCGGTTTTGAAAATCCGGCCGAACGCCGCCCTCCCGCCGACGCCGCGTTTTTTCTCGAACTCAACGCCCTCCTCCTGTCGGAGAGCGCGCGGGATTTTAAAAAATTCCGCTGGGAGGTCCTCCCGCTGTGTGAGACGCCCGCGCTTTTCCAGCTTCACCGTCGCGAGATCGCGCGCCGGCTCCTCCACGCCCTTCTCGACCGCACGGGCGGGGAAGGGGGGTATGCGCGGAAATCCAAAAGCACCGCGGTGCGCCTCCGAGGCGAGACGAGCCGGGGGACCGCCTCGGAGGGGTTTGCGGCCTTCGCGCGGTTAACCATCGCCTTCGCGCGGGACCTCGGGGAGGGGTTTTTGCCGTTTTACGAGGTCTTCCAGCAGGCCGTGCAGGCGGGGTTGTACGACGAGCAGGGGCGGTTTCTCCCCGCGGTGGAGCCGCTCCGCCTCGTCTTCGCCGTCCAGGCCGCGTGGGCGCGGGAGATGGCGCCGTACTGGACGCAACCCACCACCCCGGCGAAACTCATCCGCCGGATTCTCCGACTTTACATCGCGCAGTTGCGGGATTCCAAACCCTATCTCGCGCGGCTTTCCGCGGAGTGGCTGGGGTATCTTTGCCGACTCGCCCCCGGGATGATCGGGGTGGTGGTCGAGGAGGCCTGTGGGGATCTCCTCGCGGGTTACGAACGCCTCCGCGCGGAAAAAACGCGCGACGACGGCGACGAAGGGGAGGCGGACACCCTTTCGACGGGATCCTCCGCGGAGGCGATCCGCGACGACGACGACGACGCCCCCCCCGCGGCGGAAACGACCGGCCACGGCGAGGGGGGGATCCCGGAGGTGTGGTCGGAATCGCAGGTTCGCGCGTTCCTCGAGGAAACCCTCCCTGCCGATCCGATGGTGCGGGGGTTGCAGTTTTTCGCGGAGGAGCTCTTCCGCGGGATGCGCGGCACCCTCAACTCCGCCTTCGAAACCCATTACCTCCGCCTCCTCGAGCGGTTTCTTCTGATAAATGAAACCCAAAAGGCGGCGGTGCGGGCGAGGGACCCAGCGTACTTCCAAACCCTTTTTATGTTCGACAACGACGACGAAAAAGGCGAAAACGGAAACGAAATAGAAGAAGAAGAGGGGGATGAGGAGAAAAAGGCGCGTCAGAGGCGGGCGGCATCGCGTGAGGGGCTCCATTCGGATCGCTTTTGGTCGCGTTTCGTCTTCGCCGAGACGGAAGAGGCGGAGGCGAGGGAGCTCGCGGCCGCCTCACGACCCCCCCCCTCGTTTGCCCCCCAACGATCCTAACCCCAGCGAGACTCATGAGGTGGACGAAAAGGAGGAAACGGACGAAAAGGAGGAAACAGAAGAAAAGGAGGAGGGGTTCTCCTGCCAGACCCCGCAGGCGCGGCGGATGGCGCGTTCCTTCGTGCAGGCCGTCGGCCGCCTCGCCGTCGGCGGCGCCCTGCAGGCCGTTTTGCGGGAAACCAAAAAACACGCCGGGCTGCCAACCCCCCTTTCCGAACCCCACGACGACGACGACTTCGACGATTCCGACGGCGAGGCCGACGCGGATCCGACGGGGCGCCCGACGCATCGGCTGCTCGCGGCCGTCGTCGGCTGCCTCGTCGCCGAGGCGAATCACGTCCGCCTGCTCGCGG